CTTAGGTGTAAGACCTTGGAGGGGTTCCCTTGCATCTTAGGTAAAGACCTCGGGGGGGGGGGGGGGGGTTCCGAGGCATTAGGGTATAAGACCCTGGAGGGTTTCCAGGGCATCCATAGTAAAGACCTCGGAGGGTTCCCGAGGCATTGGGCTAAGACCATGTGGGGGTTCCCATGGCACTCAGAGTAAGACCCTGGAGGGTTTCCAGGGCATCCTTATATGTTTATATGTATGGTTTATATGTTAGTTATTGAAGACCATGTGGGGGTTCCCATGGCAATGGGCTAAGACCATGAGGGGATTCCTATGACACTCGGAGTAAGACCTTAAAGGGTTTCCATGGCTTCCCTATATGTTTATATGCATGGCTTATGCGATTGATATGGTTTATGTGATTAAGTGGTTTATGTGGGGTATGCTCTGGGGAACTCACTAAGATTTGTTCTTACAATTTTGTTTATAGTTTCAGGTATCATCGGTTTGGAAAGGAAATCCCCGGCTTGATCGCAGCGCACACACCCGTGTTTTCCGCATTATGTGTTTTTAGGATGTAACTTTGATAAATGTTTTAATTAAGTTATGTTTTTGGAATGATTGGATGAAGTAGCATTTGTGTTTAACTATAATGCAAAAATGAAACTTTTACCCTTGGTTTTTGGGGTATTACATTATAATCTATAACTTATGATGCGAGATGTTTCATACCATCCAAAGTTTGGATCTTTGTAATTTTTAAAGTAAATATAATATACAAATTTGGATCTTGGTAAATATTTGAAGTAAATATGATTATGTTTCAATACTATACGATATAGAAGATGCAACTTTTGATCTAAATATGATACACAATGTCTATAATCTAGAAGATAATATGAATCATAAATTTTGGATCATGCATATTAATAATTGAAATTTATGATCCTATATTTACAATCCAAAAGTTATGATGCATAATGTTGTCTATGATCCAAAAGTATAAGATATAAAAGTTTTACCTTTACCGTTACTGAAGTATTTAACTGAAGTACTTTTATAATAAGAAAGCAATAATGATCTATCTATTTATAAATTATGATTCAAAGCAATATGATCGAAAAAAACATAATTAAATTTAAAATACATAATTGTATGATGCTAAAAAAATTGATCCAAAATGAAATGATGCAATTTTTTACAATTTATAATTGTAAGATTCAAAAGTTTTTTGATGCAAGAAAACATGATCCGTCTTTTTTTGATTCAAAATTTCGTTATGATCAATAATATTATATATTTTATATCATAAAGTTTTATGATCCATCAATATTTTCGAATTTTTGTATTAAAAGAGTAACTTTTGAGACTTAACAAAATTCAAAAACAACAAAAACAAACAAACAACAAAATAATGTATATTAGCAAACAATCAAGAAAACCCATTATAAACCAAAAGGTACTAATTTTTTAGCACACAATCAAGAAAACATGATCTAAATTTTTTATTCAAAAGTTTTTTGATGCACGAAAACATGATCTCATTTTTATGATTCAAATTTTCTTTATAATCCATACATATTATATGTATATATATTTTATATCATAAAGTTGTATGATCCAACAATATATTATCCAACTTTTGTATTAAAGAGTAAATATGAGACTTAACAAAATTCCAAAACAACAAAACAATACATATTAGCACACAATAAAGAAAACCCATTAGAAACCTAAAATTATTAAAATCTAACAATATGTCTGAACAAAGTTCTTTACAACTAAACAAAGATATAAACATAACATTTTTTTGAAGCACGTCACACCCATCATTCATAACTTGCAACTAACAACAAAACATACATCATATACTTTGAATCATAAAACTTATTTTTTTTTTTTGCATATTTTGGATCATAGAACATAAAAATAAAATACAAAAAATAGATAAAGCTGATGAATATGATAGTAAGATTAACAAAATAAAATATTATAAAGGTCTATAAACACATTCAATCATAAGTGTTCTAAAAAGATTTAATGTTCAAGTGGAGGAACCAAAAACATTCAAAAACTACATCAAAGACATAAAAACATTGTTCAAATACATAGGTATTCCATGGAAACAACTACCTAATTGTCTCAACCATACCATATATATTATCCAAATTCTCAAGGCTATAAATGACTTTCTTGAATATTTTTTTTTTACTTTTTAAGATTTGAGACTTTTTTTGTGGATTCTTTGTATGGCCACACTTCTTTCTTCCTCTTCAGTAATTATGTACTAACAACAAAATAAAAAAATAAAAAAAAAACTATTCAAACAAAGCAATAACAACTATGATCTAATTTTCTAAGCACATTATACTTTGCTAGTATTAACTAAAATTTTTCAGACAAATACTAAGAATAACATGATAATAGATCTAGATCATGACAATACCATAAGAATTTTGCATCATCAAAATAATATTAGTAATGTGATTTTATATAATAATATGAGTATAATTATTTGCAATATTTAAAATTCAATAATTATATAAAATAGAAATCATTAACCATTTCACAAGTCTTTATACTTTCAAAGTACAATGGTGTAATAGCAAGAACTTAAAGTAGGATGCTACAATGAACAAATAAGTGAAAATACATTGCTATTTCTTGCATTCAACCCTTTCATTTATTATGATAAACATTAAATTGTAGATTTCAAGTAATGGCAAGAGAGATGCAACAAGCCTTGTATAAAATGGGATTTCCATTAACAAAAAAAAACAATTATGAAAGTAGGATGCTACCAGTAAACTAATAAATGTAAGTATATTACTATGTTTGATACTTTCATCCTTTATTTTAGTGGATTCAAATTTTTATCGAATGATTTTTAAATAAATCAAATCACGATTCAATATGATTTTCAAGGTTATTATAAGGTATAGTTCCTTTCATGTTAATAGTATATTTGTTAGTAGTAATCCCATCAATTATGTGTATATTATCATGTTATCTTCACCTTGAACTATAACATAATGGTATTTTAGTTTCTAAATGTATCTAGCACTCATTAAATCTATAATCACAAATTTCTATCTTAACATTTTAACTAAATTTATGATACAAGATCTATTTGACCTCAACATCAATACACTTTGTATTCCATATTAAGATGGTATCTGACATTTTTATAACAAATTAATTTTAAGGAAAAACCAATGGTTGTTTTCATAAGAAACTACATCAGTACTTATCATATATATAAACAAATGAAAAGAAAACCAAAATCTTTAAGAATTCAAAATTTCCAATATGTTGTTTCTTTGAGACATTATATCGAACAACTAATGAGCATCATTATATTAAGCTTCAGTTTGATGCATTTATCTAACTTCTTTATCCAGAAAGTTGTTCAAAACTCAAAAACTGAAAAGAATTGATATGAATTTCATAAATATTAAATATTAAATCAACAAGAAGATGGGTTCAAATTGTTACACCCTGGTTTTGCCAACATATCACATTACAAACTCAAAAAATTGAACTAATAAAACATAAGCACAATAATAGAGTTTTGTTACCTGCTCTCATGATAAATCTGTATGTTAAATCCAATCTTAAATAGTAATATTCTCTCTTGGATGAAAGATTGCAAATTTGTAAACTTTATTAGGGTTTTGATGCAACTTTGGATGGACAGTTGAACCAAAATAAAGCTAAACCATGGAGATTCAAAGGCGATTTTAAGAATCTACATAGATTTCTGAAGCGATTGATGCTTGAATGATGATCGAGAATGGAGAATGGAGAATGGAGAAGAAGAGAGTAGAACGAAGGATTTTCAGCTTAAATGTAGATGGAAACGTGAATGAGGGTTTCACTTGCGTATTTTACCAAATTGCTCTAAAGTATTTTACCCTTTTAGGAAAAGCATTAGAAGTTCATCATAATTTCCAAAATGCCACCAAAATTTTGAATTAAAAAATAAATAATTCCAATTAATCCCAACCACTCATTTTTCAAAGGGAATGATCCAAATTTTTTCTAGCAATTGAAACTAATTTGGCATTTTTGTTAATTAAGGAAGATTTTTTAGGGTTTTGTATTTTTGGTAAATGTTTTATTTTCCCTATATATAGTCATTAGCTTAGCTTGCGATGTAAGTTTTTTCCTGAAAATGTTTCTCTGTACGTCAATTTCCAAATCAATAAGATACAAAAACTTTGACAGATTAGTTGCAACTTTATGATGATTGATTCATGATTGTTCTTTAGATTCCGCATTCGTCATCTCGTTTTTCAACTATATATATATATATATATATATATATATATATATATATATATATATATATATATATATATATATATATATATATCCCATATCACATAACTAAATAAATCTTCATTTTCAAACGTCTCTAAATATTTGATCTATAAAATTAAAAATCAGTGCCACATCACATAACTAAATAAATCATCATTTTCAAATGTCTCTAAAATCCAACATCAAATAATAAAATCAAGTTTAAAAGCTCATGATTTTCCCTCTATTTTTTATCGAAGCAAGAGTTTAGGCTAGTGACATTGTGAAGGCGGCGACGTTGTCCTCCGTCCCAAACAACGAAGACGATGGTGGTCCATGGCAAATGACGACGACGCTACGATAGAAGAAGGAGAAGGTCTGATGAGTAGCCTTTGCTGAAGTCTGAGATTCAATGATATATTTTGCTGGTTTAGCATTTAAAAGTGTATGTAATGAGAGAGAGAACACTAATTTTTCTTTTTTTAGTTATTGTAATTAAAAAAAATAGAAAATATAAATATAAATAACAAAATCGTTATTTTTAAAAAAATCAAACCAAATTGGACAAAACTTGAAAAAAACAAAAATTTTAGTTCGGTGGTGTTAATTCAAAAATTGTTTGGACTAAAATGAGAATTTTTAAACAACCCAGAGGACCTTTTTACAATTTAATCTTTGTAAATCTGTAACTATTATATCTATATATAGTTTATTGAGATCGAGATGTATTACTCTTTCTTTTTAAATTTCCGTTTGCATTCCAAGAAGTTGACTTTTGTCGCCAATTTTGCTGCTGTAAGATTGTGTTGTAGACGAAGGGACTGGGAAGGGATTCGATTTGGTCATCCTCATAGTCTTCACAAAATCGATCCATAAGGGTGGGAGTTTGGTTGCGTAATCTTCATTTTATGAACCAGTGAACAGTCTATCGAGATTTCATCTAAATCGCAGGACATCGGCCACCACAACATCGAAAATGTTTGCAAATCAGCAGTTAATCGTTCTTTATAAAGCATTAGGATTTATTCGATTTCCTGGTATTAATTTCTATTCGATTTCCTAGTACTCATCAAAAAACGATATTGCAAGGTTAGCATCTCTTTACCTGTAATTTTGCATATCGAAATTTCCGAACATGTTCTTCTCTGTGCGTGTTTGTTACTCTATTGTGGTTCATGAATTTTTTTCGCATCTCAATTGGTGAACTGCAGTTATAACTTTTGATTTCAATTTCAAGTTTAACGTCTAATATGATCAACCAACCTGTAATGTATCTTTGATAAATTGGGATTTTCAGTGGTATGTTTGTTAGTAATGGGATTAGAAATTTCAAATTAAAACCAAAAACAAATGTGTGGAGGCCAATGGTTTTGGGGACCTTTTGTTTGTGGCTAATCTCTATGTCCAATGTCATAGTTTATTAGTTTGTTAGCTACTTAGGTTAGTGTTGTATCTGTTATCTTGTACCTTCCCAACTTGCTGGTTCTTTGTGTTTGATATATTCTAGCCCGTTAATGATTTTGATTTATAATTTTTGGGAAAGAAATTGATTTTGGTTCATGATTTTGATGTTCATCTTGTTTAAGATTTCTACTGTTTTTTGCTATAAGTCTGCATGCAACCCTTCATTATAAACCCTTTAATTTCATTTTGATGTCTAATAATCACTCAAGTGTTTGACCATTCTGAATTTTGGGTTTCCAAAGTACCAATTCCGTTGAAATTAGTTGTATGTTTGGGGTTTTGGGTTTCCAAAGTACCAATCACTCAAGGGGTTATTTTATGCCATACTGGTGTTTTGAAGATGTAGGTTGTGCAGGATCCCATATTATGTGGCATAGGGTTTAAGGCCATACTTTGGGAAATAAAAGGAAGACAAATGAGTAAAATCTTGTAAAAAGTTAGGATAAATCTTCCTTTCCCTGACTTTCTATGTTAAGTTTGGTTTTTTTTTTTGTTATATTTTATTGGGAATTTATTTTTATGCTGTCCCTGACGAAAATTTCTTGTTCCGCCCTTGGTTTGTTAATCTTTTTGGCTTTATATATCATCAGTGAAACTGAAACCTCATCATCCTTGTGCCTTTGCAGTTGTTATAATCTGTCAGGAACAAACAAATCATGTCGTTCCTGGAAAAGTTTGCTCACTTAAGAATTCCACTGGAAGAGATAAGAGGAGCAACAAACAACTTTGCTGCAAAATATTTAATTGGGCGTGGTGGTTCTGGAAAGATCTACAAAGGAGTGCTCATCCGGCCAGGAGGCTCTGTCAGGGTCGCATTCAAGTGGCTTGATAGAGCATTCGTCCAAGGATCATCAGACTTCTGGAACGAGATTATCCTTCTTTCTGAATGTAGACATGAAAATATCATAAACTTTGTTGGCTTCTGTGACGAGGGGAACGAGATGATCCTTGTCTACGAGTTTGCAAGAAACGGAAGCCTCGAACTACATTTACGTAGCGCTGACCTCACTTGGTTGAAGCGCCTCCAAATTTGCCTTGGTGCAGCTCGTGGCTTAAGTTATCTTCATAACCAACAGAGAATCATTCATCGTGACTTGAAGAGCGCACATATTCTATTAGACCAAAATTGGCATGCAAAGATAGCTGATTTTCGGTTATCCAAATTAGGTCCGGCAAATATGATGAATACTTTCCTTTTTACCGATATGGTTGGTACACTCGGCTACATGGATCCTCTGTACATTGAAACTGGTCTTCTAACAAAAGAGTCAGACATTTACTCTTTTGGGATTGTATTAATGGAAGTTCTTTGTGGGAGACTGGTAAATGAAGAGGGGAAAATGGTACGCCGCCATTATGAAGAAAGAAAACTCACCGAAATCATAGATCCAATTCTAAGAAAACAAATGAGCGCAGATTCCTTGAATGTTTTTTCGGCTATTGCATATCAATGCCTGAAAACAGAACACAAGGAACGCCCATCGATCATTGACGTTGTGGAAAAGCTTGAGCAGGTTTTGGAACTTGAACCAAAATTTGAGGAGGCGTTAGCACATCAACAAGTAAGTTACTATATTACTTACACATTTTCGGTTATTATTTCATCAATAATTCATTTAAACATCTATATATGCACATTGTAAATGACCACATGCAAAATTTTATTATGGGGAGTCACAGGTGTAAAATTGCGAACTACCATGTAAACCTTAACAAACTATTCAAAATCTTTAAACGTAAAAATGTGAAGAAAAGAGAAAGTATAACTAAACACTAAGATTGTGTTGAGTAAGATTATTAAAGTAGGTTATAAAGTTTGCTTTTAAAATAATATTTAAGATAACTTCTTAATAATTTTATTATATTTTTTTCCACAAGTTTGCAAATACATCTTACATGCTCATTTTTCACTAAAAATATACATATAAACATATAATAGTTTTTGTTTTAGGGGAGACCAAACCTTTTTGTTGTGATGTTGTTTATTTTAATTTTTTTAACACCCTTACCAAATAAAAATATAATAAGAGATCAAAATAACGCATATAGAAATATAAAATAACGCATATTATAGTTTTTGTCCCTGTGGAATTGGGCAGTCTACCTGCTTAGTCCCTATAAAGAATTTTTAACTCGGAACATCCATGTGGTACGTATTTGTTGCGTTTTTGGTCCCTAATCGATATAAAAAGACTAATTTACCCTTAAAATATTTTTAACCTTTTAATATTATTTATTTATTAAGAAAAATAATGAATTATGTGGGTCCCAACTACCCCTTCACGTCCTTGTCCTCCGCCCTCCCCCTTCTTGCTCTATAGTCTATACCAACATACCACCACCATTGATGAACCACCCTTACTCCTCCCCTTTTCTTGCTATATGCCTATCACAAGTCTCCACAGCTTCTAACAAACACCCGCATCTTCCCCTCCGTCGATTACATCTGATAAGCATAAGATCATTGGACCGGGATAATTTTAATTCGTCTATCTTATTATCTAATTTTTTCTTGATTACTTAGTTTATTAGCTACATCTTGTTTATTAGACACTAATATTTTTGCTAAAAGTTATATTTTCAACATATATACTAAACACAAGCTTAATCTACAAAGGAGTGCTCATCCGTACTTATATATGCTGAAAACTTTGTTAGAGTTTAAAATTTTCCCACATCCACACCGCTAAGTTTAAACTTTTGCATACTTTCATATTATTATTTATTTATATTTATTATACTTAGAAATGCAATGTTCTTCTACTTTTACACACTTATGAGTGTACCTCTAAGTTTAAACTTTTTCATACTTCATATTATTATTTCTACATGCAATTTTCTTCTACTTTTACACACTTATGAGTAGGGCTGGTCATGAGGATTTAAATATCATCAAAATGCCCTGAACGAGCCAGAAAAAATGACCCTTATCGCTATTATAAGTTTTTTATTTTTAAATAAATATATATACATATATAATAAAAAAAATTGGGCCCCCAAAAAAATTGGGTTCTATGCAGTTGCCCACTTTGTCTCTCCTTTCCTGCCCCCCATGCTTATGAGTGTGTGACTTGTATAGTTTCAAAACATTTGTAAACCTTAAAAATTTATATTTATTTTATATAGGACAAGAGTAATTACTCTATAAATGGTTAATATTGTATGCAATTTTCTTTAAATTGGCCCCAAGACACCCTGGTGTTTTCATTAAAAATCTTTTAGAGACCTAATGTAAAAGAAAAATACATGCAGTAAGAACATTAAAACCTTTGACAAAATTTTGATATACAAAAATAACACAAACAATCAATGAAAAGTAAAAAACACTAAAAGCCCGTTAGCCACAAGGCCCAAAAAATACTATCAAACATCTTGCACACCACTTTCAAACATGCCACCTCATTATTTGTAAAGGTTGCAATGCCAATCTATATCTATAGGGTCCATCTTTATAAAACTAAATTATTAGTTATTAGTAAAAGTTATATTTAATTATTAATATTGTATAAATATATTTATATACTTAGAAATATATAAATTCGAATCTAAATTATTAAATTTGTATGTTTAATGCATTAAATTAAATTAAATTAAGTATTTATTATTATTTAAATACTATATATTTTAGTAGTTGTTTATTAATTAAATTATAATCTATTGTATTCATGTTAATACTGTATTAAATATTAATTAACTATAAATAAAGAAAATATTTTTTTAAATTATAAAATGTTTCTTGACGTATCATCAGAGAGATCGTATATGAATGAAAATAGACACTACAATGAGAGTAATTATAAAAAGGGAAATTTCGTATATGGCTTCTTAAACATCAAAATATCATATATGCCCAATTTAATTTGTAATTATCATATTTTCTCAAACTTTTTTTTAAACATTTATAAAATAGTATAATCATTTTAAAAGCTTATTTTTTTATGAATTGACTATAATACCCTCTATAGAAATCTAAGTTCGAAATACCATATATATGATCATAAACTTCTAAATTATTATATATATAACCTGATTATTATTTTAATTTTAATAAACTCATAAATATCAACACATAAGATCGGACTCAAAACTCTAGCAAAAATCAAATTAAGCTATTTAAAAAGAATTAGAATCGTTTCTATTTTATCATTGCCTAAAATCACAAAAAGAATTTATGACACCAGAAAGGTTTATAAAACCAAAATGTTGTTTGCTTATGTTTCTATTTCAACCTTGATTTCGTAAAGTTGTTATTGGTTTCAAGATTTTTGGAGTATACGGTATTTAGGTTAGCTCCAAGTGAAAAGAGGGACATACATATACTCTCTCTCTCTCTCTCTATATATATATATATATATATATATATATATATATATATATATATATATATACTGACTTTTTTGTTTTGTCAATATTAGGTTGTAGATAATTTGAAAGACAGACGAGAAGGTGAAGAGGACTTCAAGGTAATGAAATTGAAATTTTAAACATAATTATAATAACTTGTTTTCTTCTTTCCTTCAAAATAGGTTAGCTCCAAGTGAAAAGAGGGACATACATATACTCTCTCTCTCTCTCTCTCTCTCTCTATATATATATATATATATATATATATATATATATATATATATATATATATATATATATATATATACTGACTTTTTTGTTTTGTCAATATTAGGTTGTAGATAATTTGAAAGACAGACGAGAAGGTGAAGAGGACTTCAAGGTAATGAAATTGAAATTTTAAACATAATTATAATAACTTGTTTTCTTCTTTCCTTCAAAAATACTATAAGCGAAATTCTAAAAGTGAGGTGCCGGGTCCAAAACCAACATACTTCCTTGAACTTTGTCGTTTAACAATTTTCTTCTAACATGATAACTTTGAGGTAGGTGTGTTGTGAGGTTTCAAGGGTAACAAGCGCACTTGCACGCACACACAAACACATCACTACTAGAAAATCAACACCAACAACAATCATAACCCAACGGAAAATCATTAGCAGCAAAACAAGTTTAGTTTTTATTATGGAAAAATAGCTGCATACTTCTAGAATTTTGATACCAATCGGAGAGATGGGGTAGAGTTTATAAGAGACGTAACGCAAGGGGGTGATTATTAATTATTTAAAGTTGATTATAGACTTTATCTTTGTGATTAAGTTTCCTAGTATTGTGATTCTCGTTTATGTTTAAATAAGGGTTAGGGCCTGCTTGGGTGGAGGCATGAATTAAGTTCTTTCGTAGTCTTTCTGTTTGGAGATCCCTCCGAATCTCGAACTATCAGAACCCCATTGTTGATTTCCTCTAAGCATTAAGCTAATAGTAATTGGAGTTTTGATCCGGTTCTTATCAAATTTTAGTGAGATATTTAACAAATAATTATACATTACTAATTAGTAAAAATCTTAGTAAAAATATTGTTATGACAAAACTGTGGACAGTAAAATGATATTTTTTTACCGTCACTATTCTGGATGATATATTTGTCGTTGCACAACCGCTAAAAGTTTGTTGCCACTTTGTGGTTGGATTGAACCTTTTTCTTTTGTCAACAATCTGACATTAAGTTGCTGTTTTTTTTCGAAGCGAAAACAACTGAAGTTTACGAACCACATCTGCAACCCTCTGCAGTAGAAGATGTGGACCAAACGACTATAGTTTGTATAAAAAGTTTGTTTGTTTTTAACCTCTACAGACTGCTGCAATAAACTGAAATTAACTATATAATAGTTAAAAATAAATCTAAATAAAAAATTTATTTAGTTTAATCATATGCAAATCAGATATAAAGATCATTATGATGATATGAATTTTCAAGAGGTTTATATAAAAGAATTAAACATAATATTTTCTAAATAACAATAAATAAAATTGTTAATTTAGCTAAAAACATGTTCATTTTTGTTAAAATTTTGAAGATAGTGATTATTTTTCCGGTTAATTTCAATAAATTTAGTAATTTTAATGACTACCTTTATAATTTATGAATATCTGGTTATTGACAATATAACACAAAAAATATTTATATGAAATTTACCTAACGGATTTGAAATTATGTTAAATATGCTTCAATTGTTTATAATATTCTTCAAATATTATTAAAATAATAAACATATTGTTGAAAAAAAGTTTAAAACAAATCTAAGTTGAATAATATAACTTAAAGTAAGTAAGAAATGATTTGAAGAGGATGGTCCAGTGCTGCGTAGCATAGCACATGCGTAACAGTTTTTGAGTTAGAAGTCTTCCAAAAAACAAATAGCTGCAAAAGACCAAGTGTTACGCGTGTGCTACGCGGCGCAGTAAGAAGTGGTTTTTCCGAAAAAAACAAACAAACAAACAACACCTAAGTTTGAGTCATAATTAATTGCAAATTGTTTCATTTATCCCTTTTGTACAATGACCTTATTTTACAAAATAATATATTCACTTACAAATTATAATGTCATAATATAATATAGACAAAAATGCCAAAACGGTCCCTGGTATGCATTTTTTTCTAAGTTTTTGTCCAAACCCTGAATTTTTTGGATGGGTGGTCATTTTGAGGTAGTTTAGTGGCGTATTTGGTTCCTCCGAATACTTAAATGACTTTAATACCTTTGGGGTATATATTTTCCATTTTTTTTAAATCCAATACTTATTATTTTTTTAATAATTAAAAAATAAGATGGCCTCTCTCTCTCTCTCTCTCTCTCTCTCTCTCTCTTTCTCTCTCTCTCAAACACCCTTAGAATAACGACTCTCAAACCTGAACTACCATCCTCTACTATATTCAAAACTCATACACTAAATTCACTTTAAAACCCACCAGCAATCCTATTTTTGCAACCAAAGAACAATCCAGATCGATTTTTGTCTCTATAAGTTTGGTTGTGAAATCAGACATAGACATAAAATACACACACATGATCTAGATCTGGTGACTCTACCTTCGATCATCACCCCATGGTGACTCTACCTCCGATCTTCACCCTGCAAATTTCGTCTTTATCATAACACTCATAAGAACCTAATGTCTAGAGACCAAAATGACCCAGAAAATACAAGTAAAAGTACATAGAGAAGGTAGCACATTCTGAATCAAAATATGTAGATTTATGATCTTCTCATTGTTGTTGACTGTAGATCACCATCTCTCACCAGAAATCGCATACCGTTAAGGTTCATACTCGAAATAAGTATGTATGTGTGTGTTCATCCATTAAACCCATCCTCTACTTCTTCTTTATGGTTTTCTAGTCAACCACATGACCTCATATCATCTATTAAAGGAACAACAATGGTGAATTGCTGAAGGAAGCTCATTTCTGCAAGATTAATAACCTTGAAGATTTCTCAATTTCTGCAACATTAACAACCTCGATGTTACTCGATAGCGGAACTCTGTCGTCTTGTGTTTCCTCAAGGTCGTCGTATGTCGGCGGGAGCTCAAAACGAAGGGTGTTTTTTAAGTTGCTTCTTCTGTTAAATACATTAAATTCGTCGTAATCACGTCAAGGCCTCAAATTTTCGAAATAAATCTCTTCAAAGTTGATTATGTGCTTTTAATTTTGTGTGTGTTTGTATGTTTAATCCTCAGAAAATGGTTGTGATGGTGATAACATGTGAAGGGTTTGGAGTCTGAGTTGTAGGTGAAGGGTAGGGAGGAAGATGATGGTGGTGGGTGGTATTGTTTTTACCGCGCACGTGTGTATGTGTTAGTGAGAGATAGAGAGATAGAGAGAGAGAGAGAGAGAGATAGGAGGTGGGATCCTCTTAAGTTTTAATTATTAAAATAAATAAATAAGTATTAGATTTTAAAAAATTGAAAGAAAAATAGAAAATAAATACCCCAAGGGTATGGATGAACGTTGATACATTTTGATTGATTTGATTTTTTATTAATATACAAAAATAAAATAAGAATGGGAATAATAAGAATAATAAAATTAAATTAAAGTAAAATATCATATTGGTTGTAAAAATGAATTTAAAATGATTGGAAAAAAATTAAAATGATGGGATGTTTGAGTGATTAATGGGAATGTGGTGCATTTGGTAAAAGAATTGTTAAAAATGATTGATTATACCCAACTTAACTTTAGCTTTTTGTGAAATAAATAGCAATTAATTGCTATTTATATTAGGCCCGAAACCTAATGTTGTGAAGAATTAAAGTTTTTGAAAATGAAACAAAAAAACCTAAAAATGTAAAAGAATATGTTTTCTAGGAAGCCTAAAAATCAATCAACCTTATACTTCATAGAATGTAGGTAGGTTGGCCTTCGACTTTTCTTCGGTACCACCAATTACATGGCTTTGTCATGGGCAATACCGGGAAATCTGAAGTCGTGTCGGGTTAAAGGATCGCCGCTCCCTTCTTCTTCTCTTTTTTCTTGACTTTATTCGACCACTATATTTTAACCAAATTATTTTCTATATAAACCACTCTTAGCCTTTTCATAAATGTAATAAACTTTCTAAACATATATTTTTAAATTTTGTGGGATGAGAGAGTTTCATTGCATGCGCTTAGGGTTGGGAGGTAGGAAGTGAGATGAGAGATAAAAGATTGATGTGCAGCCTATGTGACGTTAGAGTTGGGACCAACACACCCTTATGCAAATTTCATTAGATTGCACAATATTCTAGTACGGTTAGAACCGATTAGCTTTTTTGTCCTCTGCTTGTGTGGCTTGTCGGACTTAAGGCATATGTTATATTAAAATAATTGCCGTTGAAAATTGATATTTCCATCAAATAAATAATTTCGAATTAATTATAAGAGTTTATGAATATTTATTAAAATCAATCTTTAATAAATAATTAATTTTATCAAGTTGTTGTTAGTATGACCCTTAATAATCATATATTATCTAGCAATATCATTCTATAATGATTCTTGGACATATAGATCTTTTATGTTCCACATAACATTTCTATATGTTGTTGGTACTCTTAGGTTATCTAAGAGTACACTAAAGTTATATATTGACTTGTGTATTCCATCAATGATGGGAAAATGCATCACGAATGCATAACCATACTTAACACCAAATCAGATAGGCATTTGAATAACTGACCCTACCCTAAAGCAATATTCAAACAAGAGCATGCAGAAGAGCTAAATCAAAGATTCTAAGCCTGTGTAATTCAAGTTATGTGCAACTTAAGGCATTCATTTTATAAGTTGCCAACATCAATCCTAATTGTTCACTTCTACCGGACATGCTATTGATCTATTGGCGTATAATAAGCATATGATGCATATAGCACATAAAACACATAATACATTTACTCTTATCCAGGTAGTTCTAGCATGCAGTTACATCTAATAGTTAAATTTTCTATCATGCATAATCAAATAACGGCACTTTAAAATCGACTTAGGTCATAGAACAATGTTCGTAATCCTAGAGCAACAATCAAACAAGAACATACAGTGTAACAAAGTTCACATTCCTAACCCAAATGTTTTTGATAATTATTTGTAGGAAAAAAGTTTTCTTTCAAAATGTGTCATTTGAAAAAATGTTTTAAAAATTTTGAGTTTTTGGTTTGAGTTCAGACACACAAATCCTTCAAACCATGTTCAGATACCAACTTATAACATTTCATTTTTTTAAAAATAACTAAAAAAATTAATGTGATTAAAACTCATCATAATTTAATTGACAAGTCCTTTGTAAATCTCATAAAACATAACTCGTTAGTTTACAAAGAAACAACTTTGAATAACTCAAGTATTAATCCAACATGAATATTTTTCTTAAATAATTATAATATTAAATCCTTTTCAAACTTCATTCAAAACATAAAAGCAGAAGTTGTAAATAGTCATAAAAGTCTTATACAATCTTGTGCGATCCTAGAGCAACAATCAAACAAGAACATGCAGTGTGACAAAGTTTACATTCCTAACCCAACTGTTTTTGATAATTATTTGTAGGAAAAAAGTTTTCTTTCAAAATGTGTCATTTGAAATTGTTTTGAAAATTTTGAGCTTTTGGTTTGAGTTCAGACACACACAATGTGTGTCTGAATACTTCAAACCATGTTCTGATACCAACTTATAACATTTCATTTTTTTAAAAATAACTAAAAAAATTAATTTGATTAAAATCATCATAATTTAATTGACAATTCCTTTGTAAATCTCATAAAACATAACTGGTTCGTTTACAAAGAAACAACTTTGAATAACTCAAGTATTAATCCAACATGAATATTTTTCTTAAATAATCATAATATTAAATCCTTTTCAAACTTCATTCAGAACATAAAAGCAGAAGTCGTAAATAGTCATAAAAGTCTTATACAATCTTGTGCGATAAACATGCACACGCACCAATACATACAAACATACATAAATAGATAATCAGATACATACACACATACATACATACATTCTGAATTCAAATGAATTATATTTACTCACTTTCTATGTGTTTGTTAGTTGTTACTTGTCAATAAGCAGCATGTTATAGTGAGGAGGATAGCGACCCCGATTGGAAATTGATTCCTTAAGCCATGTTTTGGACCGGATTTTTTGAGTTGTGTGTGATCTTGTGTATAGTAATATTACAATAACCAAGGAATTTTAACTTTTATTTTTTAAATTTCAACTTGGCAGGTGAAAACGATGGAACATATGAAGATCCCATTAAAAGATATAAAGTCAGCAACTCATGATTTTCATGAGCATTTTAAAATTGGAAGGGGTGGATTTGGGGAAGTATACAAAGCAGATCTCTTCCACTTCGATTTCAGAAAATACATTGCAGAGAATAGATTTCAAAGGCTTTCTTTGGCAGAACCCTCAGACTACCCAAAAAGACAAAGCACAGTTGCTATTAAGCGGTTAGATCGTAGATATGGACAAGGACCTGCACAGTTCTTGCAAGAACTCTCGATGCTTCCATATCTTACACACAAAAACCTTGTCACACTTGTTGGATTTTGTGATGAAGATCGTGAGAATATTCTTGTTTATGAGTATGCTCCAAATGGAAGCCTCCATGATCATATTCATAGTTCTAATACCACAAATAGTCATACATGGGCAAGACGTCTTCAGATTTGCCTCGATGCTGCCTCTGGGCTTGAGTTTCTCCATAATGGTATTGGAGAACATTATAGGATAATACATCGAGATATAAAGAGCTCCAACATTTTATTAGGCCAAAACTACATTGGTATGATTAGTGACTTTGGGTTGTCAAAAATTGGTCCTGCCAATCTAGAAGCCACCTTTGTGATGACTCAAGTTGCTGGCACACCACTATATATAGATCCACAATATCAAAAAACAGGTTTGCTAACAAAAGAGTCTGATATTTATTCGTTTGGGGTGGTTTTGTTTGAAGCATTGAGTGGAAGGTTGGTTCATTTCCAAAGGTCTAAAGATGACCCAGAATTTCTGCTCAAGATGGCTAAACGTTGCTTCGAGAAAAAAATTATCAATGAGATTATTGACTTGAAGTTCAAGAAAGAATTCGAGAAATCCGGCTCTCCCATTCTAGATGACGAAACCTGCCCAGATTCCATAAAGATATATGCATCAATTGCATATAAATGTTGCAATGAAAAACGAGAGGACCGTCCTATAATAGCTGAAGTCGTGAAAGAACTTGAGAAAGCATTGAAGTCTCATGTAAGTCATTAGTTTTATAAGAGCATCTCCAACCCACCCCATTCTCCATTTTCATCCCATTTTTGCCTCCATTATTCTCCAATCCCACCACATTTCTTACTCCAGTTTTGGGGAAATGAATAGTATTACTAAAAATATGGAGTAACACTATTCATTTCCCCAAAATCGGGTTGATGTTTCAATTATCGATTTAAATCCCTGACTTTTTATGTTTATACATTTCTAGTTTTTTTAATCTTCTAGTTATACATTAAATGTAATAATTAATATTTAAATATGTTAAATTATATTAATTAATCTTAAATATAAAGTTTAACTGACAGTTGACAAATTTTCGTCATTAAATTCATAATTATTTAAAATCCATATAATTATATGTAAACAATTTATTTTGTGATAACATAATTTACAATATTATTGTAATGAAGAAAAGATAGAATATATATATATATATATATATATATATATATATATATATATATATATATATATATATATATATATACTAGAAATTTACTTTTTAGGGTAACAAATGTGTAAAAAATGGATTAAGGTTGGCGATAAAACACTATTTACCCTATTTTTTGAGAAATAAATGGAGATGGGTTGGATATGGTTTAACAACTATTGATCTGTGAGATCAGTTAACAACTCTTGATCATAAATATAATTCATTTTATTAGTTTAGGTTCTATTTTTTTTTTGTGAGGATAAATTAACATGATAGTTATAACGAAAATAAAAGTAGAGGGTATTTGGCTAAGCCAATCGTATAAGATCCATCAAATGAAAAGTGGAATGGGCAATTATGCAGGTAAACCGGGTGGAGGCCTTTAGAATAACACTTGGCGACATTAGATCTGCTACAAATGACTTCCGTGATAAAATAGAGCAAGGACCAGTAGGCGAGGTGTACTGTGGAGAACTTCAGTACTTAAAGGGACATGGCACAGTTACCATAAAGCGGCTCTGTCCTTCAGTGGATTCTTCTGGAGAAGAATTTGTTAAGGATATTGCAAGGCTTTATAGTTATAGCCATGAGAATGTTGTTCCAGTTTTAGGATTTTGTGAAGAAGGGACTGAGAGGATCATTGTTCTTGAGCATATGGTTAAAGGAAGTTTAAAAGATCATCTAACCAACACTAGTCTGATGTGGAAACAACGACTCAAGATATGCATTGATGCTGCATATGGACTAGCTTACATTCATAGTCATGCTGATCAGACAGAACATATGATTCATGGCGACTTAAAAAGCAGTAGCATTCTACTTGGAGATGACTGGAAAGCTTCTATTTCTGATTTCATCGTTTTCAAAGGTGCAGGCACTTTAGGTTATCTTGATCCACTCTCTCCCAACACAAGTTCCCTTACACAGGAATCGGATGTTTATTCTTTTGGGGTTGTTTTATTTGAAATCTTATCTGGGAGATTGGCAACTGAAACGATTATATTTGATCAGCAACTGCCACTTGGTGAAGTCCCAAATGTTGAACCTCAACTTATAAACAGCGCAAGTGGTACAAGCAACGACAACGAGCCAGTGGCTTTTCTTGCAAATTGGGCATCAAAATGCTTCAAAAACAACAAAATAGAAGATATTATCTTTCATGCTATAAAGAAAGAAATTGAACCAATGTCCTTGGTGATATTTTCAACTATTGCAAACCAATGCTTGATGGAACAACGAACTGACCGCCCAACAATGACTAAGGTTGTAGAAGAACTTGAAAAAGCCCTTGATTGCCAAGTAAGTTCACTTAACGAGTAGATGAAGAACATATGGCTTAGGGTTAGAAAGGAGGGTTTCTCTAATAATATATTCTCACAACTGTAGTAATAAAAGTTGTAAGATTCAGAAATCTGCTATGAATGCAATTTTAACATTTTCATCTGTCACATATACCCAGGATGAGTGGGAATGGGAGCAAAAACTACCTACGGATTATAAAGAAATAATCCAGATGTCAAAACGTCCAGTGGCCTCTACAATCAGAAAGAAGGATATCCATTCCCTTCTGTCATCGGGAATGCTACTTCACAACGAAAAAGTAGAGTCCCTTAAATCGTTTATGTATCTTCAATTGATTGCTTTATGAACTATGCTTTCCATAAACAAATTAATTTTCACTCACTCGTTTTCCACTTTTTATTGTCTTTTACGCTAATAGTGGTTTTCAATAAGCATGGATGGAGCAAGAAATGAAATGGCATCTGCAAAAACATTTTCATACGGTGATGTTTCTTCTGTGAAGTGGAAATCCGTACAAAAATCAAGGTTCTATATATAAACTTTTTAGTCAAGTCGTTTTACTAAGAATCCTCTACTTGGTGTAGCCTTGTGGCATACAGCTATCTTTTATGAAATGAAACTTATAATACCCAGGGATTTTAATTAGTAGCAAATCTCATGAGGGCTAATTGGTTTGTAGTTTTTCTCATCTTTAAGGCAAATAATGTGATTGCTTTAAAAAAAAAAGGAAAATGAAATATATTTTCATGAGAATCATATATGGTAACATCTAACATGTACATTTTGAGGAACTACCAACACTTGTCCCTTTTTAAAATTTCCGTAGGAAAATGTGAATAATAAGAATGATCAATGGCTAGGAAAAAGGGTGGATTAATTGTATTATAAGATATATCAATATCATATAGAGTTGTTATATAGTTATATGCATGTGCAGATTCCCAAAGGTCGCAAGGATACCTGATATCTCAAATCTCAATATCGAAATTAAGATAAAAACTCAATTTCTAACTCCAGAGATGATGTATGGAGCTTACCTAGTGTTCAAGTTTTGTGATAAAAGAAAGGTTTCTAGCAGGCCGTTATACGTGAACCTAAAATATAAGAAGGCAGGTGAGACCTTAAGTGCATATTTTGCAGAGTGGGAAGTTGGAACCGAGTGGTTGAAAGTCAAACTGTTCCAATTTTCGAGTAATAATGGAAGTATCGATGTTGAGATTCTACTAGAAAGCTTGTCTCAGTATTATTGTGGCAGAGGGGCCATATATATTGAAGGCATAGAGTTTCAGGCCAGTCGAAGCGTAAGTTGAATAATGCATGCATCTTTCATGCATATATTTATGGAAAAGATATGTGAATATGTCATAACATGGTCATTTAACTGTGTATAGGTTGACTTTGAACACAATAACGAATTGAAGGATGGAACAAACAGTGAAGGAGTTTTGATCAATACACAGTTGGACATGGATTGGGTGGAAAAAATGTTATATCATTACGAAAAAATTATCAGGAGGTATGGGAAGAATGTCCATGTTGCCAATGGAATTGACAATAAAGAGGTGATGTATCGCCTTCTTTCTGAGGGAATTCATATTGACAATGGTGAAAAGGTCTGATTTCTTTTCTTTTTTATGCACAAAAACTAGGCAAACAGTACAAATTATCATTCCCCTACCACCAACTTAATTACTGTAGTATCATAATGACAAACTTGCAACTCTATGATGAACAGTTTTTCTCACTAAGCAAAGTGAACATGAAGAAATGCCACATGCTAAGGGCATCATCAGTTATATACAATTCCTTAAACTTAAAGTTCAGCAAGCCTCCAACTGGATTAAGGTTTGCTTTTTTTTGAACTGTCTTAATTACTCCTTTCATATCAAGTCATATTTATGTATATGCATGCGTACTTCAGGTTAAATATTTTTAACTATTTTTATTTGATATATATAGACCTAGAAAGAGAGATATAATTGTTAGCGTATATATTATGAAATGACTAATTAAAAGAGTTAATATAGGTGTAGATTTGCAAAGGTTGCAAAGATTCTGTCTCACCAGGATTTCCGTATCAAATGTGACATAGAGACACAAATGCTCTCATCAGATACAACCTACACTTGTTTCCTCGTGTTCAAACTTTCAAAAAAATGTTGTGGTCTCAAGTGCCCAGTGAAGGCTCGTGATTTAGTACCCCATAGAAAGGAAAGAACCAAAATCATTTCTTTCAGGTACCCAAGCAAAGTGAATTTGGACAAAATCAAATGGATTCCAAAACAGAGAGAAGATGGATGGATGGAGGTTATAGTGTGGGAATTTAAGGTTGATAACACGCATAATGATGAGTATATTCCTATGGATTTGAAAATGACATGTTTTGAAGGAAATATGTCTGGTCTTATTGTGTATGGAATTGAGTTCCGTCCTATAGCATAAGTGTATATTAAGTAACATTTATAAATGTTGCTCTAAGTGTATGGCAATCTGTTATTACATCTTTTGTACTTTTATATCAACTTAAAGGCTCTATAGAAGATATTTCCCCAATACTTCTTTTTATAAGAGGAAAAATTACAAAGTAAAAGAAAATACACACAAGAGCTACAACATTTGTTTTTCTGTTTATGTATATTGCATCAAAAGTTATAGGGATGCAATACCATTAAAACCAGAAAACATACTAGTAGAATAAATGTAATCCTAAAGTGGACATACATGATGATCATCATAGCTGGAGGAAGCAAAACAGCCATACCAACGATTTTCATATACCATGAACAAAGCCTTCATCAACCACTCCAAAAACAGGTTCGCGCTCTTAATTAGATCCCAGATGCTGACAAACGGATGAGTGTTAGCCAAAACTTTCAACCCACTTGTATACGATTAATATCTTTCATGGATAAGGTCATTAATTTTCAAAAGACTCTCTATCTGTATTCAAGACATTATTTAAAAAGGAAGGTTTTAACCAATGCTGGATTATATAGCTACTTGGAATTTGGTAATGAAAATGGTGCAAAGATTTAGACTGTGAAGAGATAGAAGTTTGGTCCAGGTTCTGTTGATTATTCCCATGGAAAAGAGATTTCATTTATAATGACAAAGCTATTTGGCTTCCCATGCCTTGTCTTCCTTAATCTTTCCCATAGTTGTGGACAATTTGGTAAATTTCTCATTCCCTTTACTCTATCGATTCTGATGACCCTAATCTTTCTTTTGATCGTATCTGCACTCTCTTCCGGAATAAATTTTTATTGATTCTGTGATTAATATAGAGCTTGATGGGGCTAAGATTTAAGTTTTGTATCAAAGAATCAAAAGAGCAAAAGAAATTTTCAATTTTCGGCGGAAATGGAAAATGAAATCGCTTCTGGAGTCGATTTTAGATCCTGTTGGTCAAACATAAATTCCGATCATGATTCCTTTGACTCTGACGAGCTTTATCAAGATGAAGCTGTTCAAAAACATGGTTGTATCTATTCCCTGGTCGTCACCCTTGAAATTCACATTCCCGTCAATCCTCTAGGCGGTGCCTCTGCCGCAGATGCGCCCCTCTGGCAGTTAACACTCTGGCCCTCCCAATATGTCTTTTACTTCATAATCGGTCTTGTATTTGTCGTATTCCTCGACGTGTTTTGGGCTCTTGGAATGCTTACTTTTGCACTAGGCAGCCCATGAGCCTAGTAATGAGCATCCCATCTGCTCCAAGTTAAGGTGCACAATACAAACTGGTTTTTTGACAACCAAACCGAGAAAACCAAAACCGGTTTTGAAATATCCGAACTGGTTAGAACTGAATTGTCGGTTTGTAACACCCGATTGAAGGTATTTTTCATTTTTTTACCTTTGGTATGTAAATACTTTGCATATTTGCTTCCTAGGGGGCAGTTTTGCCATTTTCGGAAATTTCGGACTACGCGGGGCGTACGCATCTAGGGAGCAAACCCTAAATTTTAGGGTTTGGACCCTATTTAAGCAACATTATGACCCATGATCCTCTCATTTCTTAGGCTCCATTTCCCTTTGAGTCCCATTTCAAAACCCTAGCCCCTCTTGAGGAGATTTGACCATCTTGTTTGTGTTTTTAGAGTGTGTTGGTGAGATTTGATGAAGAAGAGCTTAGAAGAAGGAGCCTTGTTCAAAAGAGAACTTGTAGATCCAAACTTTACACACAATTTACAGCTTCAACGAGGTATAATGGTCGGCGTCTTCTTTATTATGCATGGTGGGCTTGTGGTTGAGTCCAGATTGAGGGATTTGGGAACTCGAAGCATGACCTGAACACATGTTGGATGCAAGTTTTGGCTTAGGAGGCGTGGGGTTGTGATGGTTAGGGTATGGTAAGGTCATGGGTGGTGATCATGGTTAGTTGGAAGTGTTGTAAGACTGCGATGGGATCGTAGCATCCACCAGTTCGAGGTGAACTATCGTTGGAGGTGGTCATGAGTGTAAAAGGAGAATTAGTTCGTACCTTGGGCACGCTAGTCAAGATTGCTGATGAGTATTTCTCTGTATAGGATGAGGACCATTGGAGTCTGAGGTGGAGTCGGGCCTGTATAGCTCTAGATGGGTGGGACCCGTGGGTAAGGCCCGTGTGATTATGGAAATACAGGTGGGATGTGGTAGAGGCTGTTGGGTTAAGGTTTGGGATCTTGAGTCGCAGGATTAAGTGGGTGGTCAGTAGGTGTGATGCGGATGGGTTTATAGGCTGGGTAGCCTTGTTATTTTGACTCTTGGGAACTTGGTGGTCGGATCAGGTGTGAGACTTGTAGTCTTAGCATGGTTTGGGGACCTTTATATCCCGGTCTAGTGAGGGGTGATTGTGAATCATAAGGTTTTGGGTGAAATGCAAGTGCAGATTCGTGGATCTCGGGTTATGAGTTGAATATCAGGATAGTTTTGGGTGGCATCTCGAGTTGGGTCTCACGAGTGTTTATGTGCAGGATTTCCTTTTTTAGTCTGATAAGAATTTGGGGTATCTATATGCAGAAGGTATCAATCGAAGGGTTCAAGGGTAAGGAGTGGATTCAATTTGATGATAGATCAAGCCATTGTGATTGTGTCTTGGATTGGTTCTATCTATAAATGGTATCAAGATAAGTCAAGACGGTATTATTGATTTGGATCTCGTGTGTGGAAATGCTTGTTATTCGGGAAATATGTTAGGTCACCTGTAGTTTGGGTTAAATAATCTTAGAGTAAAATATTTGGCCCTATTGTGCAGCCCTGACCTGAGTCTAACCGTTGCAAGGATGAGTGTCCTACACGAAGGATTATCTGAGACTTCTCTCAAGAAAAAGTGTTATGCAAGGATAATTGGTATGTGTTTATGTTTTCTAATGTGAACCTCAGGTTATCAGAAGTTGGGTAGTCAGTTTGGCGATAAATGGAAGGGATTTAGCAATGTTTCAGTATGGGCGGTCCGTTAGGGAGTCACACCATCTTAAGACTTCAGACTTTAGGTTTAGTAAACGTGGTTGTTTTGCAAGGGATTAGTTTTGGTTGAGAAATGATTCATTCATCTTCGGGTTGGAGAGCCGTGCTAGGGTTGGTTTTGGTTGCCTTAGGAGGTTGTGGTGTGCTTGGGGTTATGGCCGTGTTGCTCAGGTTGTCTGGTGTGTCGAGGATGTTAAGGAATGATTTCGAGGATGAAGTCTAATTTAAGTGGGGGAGAGTTGTAAGGCCCTATTCTGAATCGATTCCTTAGGCTTAGGGCCTTTGAAAAGGTGAGATCTAAGCCTATTTGGGTGCAAGTGATGTAATTGAAGTGATCCAGGTGTTCGGTTCGTGTTGTGGAGCCTAGAGGTATTTCGATAAAGTGTCAGTTAGGGCTTTTGTGGAAATTGAATTTTTGTTCAGAAGGTCTGAAGGCTGGTAGAAGTGTAGGGTTTCTCGTTACCTTACCGTAGATATAAGGATCGCCGAAAACGGACTTGTAATGAAAAAGTTATGGCCTTTAGAAGTTTGGTGGTTTTATGGTATAATCGGTTACGCGGGGCGTACACAAAGGGTATGCGGGGCATACTAGGGAAAAGGGTAGCACATGGGGCTTACCTTGGCATACGATGGGTGTACTGTCTAGGATGGTCACGGATGCTCTACGGAGTACGCTGGGTATACCATATATACGTTAGGCGTACTCTAATCAGACCCAAACCCTATTTTAGGGTCTTGGACCTTATTTAAGCTCTTTATCTCATAATGTAACATCCCAATTTTCAAGACCAAAAATTTCATTTTTGATACAACGCTTTAGAAAAACATTTATAAGAAAACATCATCAAGTCATATCATTTCATAAAACCACAATCACATGTCTCAAAACCATATATAAAAATAATAATAATGTCAGACTACAATGCCAAGAATCTCATAATGCAGAAATCCAGTGTGCGATGCGCTGCTACCTTGCTAGCTCCTTCCTCATTGATGAAGATGTACCTGAAAACAAAATTGAAAACTATAAGCACGAAGCTTAGTGAGTTCCCCCATCATACCACATACCATACATAACACATACTACCAAGCATATCTGGGTGCCCAACCTACCCTGCTGAGCATACCGGGGTGCTTAACCTACCCGTACTAGGCATACTGGGGTGCCTAACCTACCCCTGTCAGACATACTGGGGTGTCCGACCTACCCCTCCGGTTTATCTTAACCGGTTAATAGGACTATTTCACCCCTACTACTACCATATAAAAGCATAACATAATCATTGTGTCAGGCATACCGAGGTGCCCGACCTACCCTTTGGTCCTATCGACCTGATATGGGGACTATTCCCCTACTATCACATAACATCATATCAGGCTACCAGACAATTATTATGAAGAAAATTATCTCTACTATAACTCTTACTAGTGAGCCAACCTTGGTGCCTTCGACCCACTTCTACTGGAAGGTAACTCACCTCAATGTCATGAAGTGTCTGAACTGCCCTCGATGCTAGGATCAACACCTATCAAACTCCTACAAATAACAACCTTCCTTAATTACCATTTCATATTCTTAACCCTTTCAAGGGTCAACTAAGGTCAAAGTCAAAGTTAAGGTCAACACCCTGGTCAAAGTGAACTTTTGGTCAAAGTCAACATCGGTTTGACTCAACTAGTCGAGTTGGTCCACCAACTCGTCGAGTTCCATAATCCACAAAATACTAGAGCTTCGATTCTACTCGTCGAGTTCTTCTTCATACAGAATCGGGACCTTTTGCTCATGACTCGTCGAGCTCATCCTTGAACTCGTCGAGTCTTGCTTCATACAAGTTGAAGTGTTTAGTCCTTGACTCGCCGAGTTCTTCCTTGAACTCATCGAGTTCTTCTTCATATATATTGGGACATCGCCTTGAACTCACCGAGTTCATCCTTGAACTCGTCGAGTTCTTTGATCTTCAGGTCCATATTCACATCTATCTTGTTGAGTCCTCTTCTAGACTCAACCAGATCGATCAGAAACACAAAAGGTTGGGAAACCATAACCCGAATCACCGAGTCCCATTAACGACTCATTGATTCCCCTATAGTCCATGTCTATCTAGTCGATTT